AAAAGTCCAGATCATGAAAATGATAAATAATACTAACACCATCATGGCCCAGGCATAATTGAAAAAAAAATAATGTTTTTAAAAGGTGCTATTTCGGTGACAGACAGGGAGGTAAGTCACCAAAACAAAGCATCCCTTAGGTTGTGCAGAAAAGAATTGGAGGTGGGCATGGTGGAAAAGAGGAGGTGATCCCATATATGGAGATTGAATCTCACAAGTTCTGAATGAAACTGGTAAGCACTTGTAAATCAATCACATTTTCTCATCTCCTCAAGATACCAATGCTCAATTGAAAATAGTGGCTACTGGGCCGGGCGTGGTGGCTCATGCCCATAATCCCAGCCCATTGGGAGGCTGAGGCAGGTGGATCATGAGGTCAAGAGATCGAGACCATCCTGGTCAACATGGTGAAACCCCGTCTCTACTAAAAATACAAAAAAATTAGCTGGACACAGTGGCGCGTGCCTGTAATCTCAGTTACTCAGGAGGCTGAGGCAGGAGAATTGCCTGAACCCAGGAGGCAGAGGTTGCAGTGAGCCGAGATTGCACCATTGCACTCCAGCCTGGGTAACAAGAGCGAAACTCTGTCTCAAAAAAAAAGAAAATAGTGGCTACTGAATGAGCCTGGCAGATGTCACAAATGAACATGCCTGGTTGTATGGTTCCCTTGCTTTGTCTAAGAAACTGAATGATGTTCCATATCTTAATCCAGTGGTTGAGACTAAAATGGCTAATGGGCAAATGAACAGGAGATTCTGATCACAGATGTATGGGCTGTCACCTATAGAGCCGATTCTGTCAGCTCTCACCAAGAGTCATGCTTTCTAAGCTACATCCAGGGATGTGTCCAGTCCTAAAGACAAAAAAACAGTGTTCCCCTTAGCTCTTAAATTCATTGCTTTGAAAAATGGAAGTTCAAAAGTCTTTTTGATTCCACAAAGACTTTTTTTTAACTGTGGAAGATATTAAATAAACGTATTTACATTTTACACACACACACACACACGTTCAGATGCCAACTAGAATTTCCTAAGAACTACATATTTGCACAAGAGTGCATGCAAATGTAAATCTTGGCGAATCCCATTCTATCTATGACCTCTTCCCCAAAATAAAAAGATCCTATGCTCAATATCCAATATGTTCCATGCACACTAATATGTAGGGATGTGTTTTCCTACCTACAATAATGAGGTTTTCAAAATATAAGTCATTCTATTTTTCTGTTTCTTTAAAATGTGCTGCAGCACTGAAGGGGCTTATTTTACTTTCTAGAAATGGAAGAACACAGCCTTCTTAGATATTTACCTACAAGATGGCTATTAGGTTTGCTCTAGAAAATATGTTAAAAGTTTTGCTTGCCATAAAATCACATTTTCAAAGTGTAGGAGAAGAGGTATGTTTTTCTCTAATGTGGAAATACATAGGGATGAGAACAGAGAGAACTATCACATTTCAACAAATCTATATGTTGTTTCTCTAAAGGTGTTTTATGTGATTTGAGAAAGCCATAGGAGCCTAGAAAAAAAATGAACTGATTTATCTGAAATATTGTTGTTCTATGTATAGCTTGCAACAAAAACTCACACTGTGAAATAAATGACTCCTATTTTTCGAAATAAGCATGATTTGGAGCTCTAAATTAAATAAAAAGCAAAACATACAAGATCATCTGTAGCATACTACCATTCATGTAAGAAGTGGAGTTAAGAAAATAGGCGTGAATGTAGTCATTTGTATGAAAGAACTACAGGAAGGAACAACTCGAAATAAATGAGGTTGTCTGCAGAGTGTGGGTGGCAACAGAACGTGAACAGAATGTGATGAATGGAGAATGAGAATGAGGTTGCAGGTGTAAGGAGGAGCGGCATTCCTCTGAGTACGCCGTTTTTTTAATTGAACCACGCTAATGTTTTACATACTTCCTAAATAGACAAATAAATAAACCAAAATGCATGTGGTGGGTGGGGGACAGGGGCAGGAAGGAAGGAATGCAGAGAGTACACGGAGACGTCTACATTACAAATGAAGAGTATCAACCTACTGAGAGTGAGAACGCAAAGAGCTCACCTAAGCAACTTTGGAAACAGCATTTGGCAGTACATCAAAAGGCTGAAGACGAGAAGAACTACACACAGATGTTTCCATAGAGTAGTACATTTGTTTCTCACAAAAATGTAAGTTAGCAATTTTGAAAACTATATGAATTATGAAACTCCTTTGTATTTATACTAGGATTGAACACACGCGTAAATATATGGTAGGGCCTGGTTTCTCAACATTGGAGGAAAACTACAACTATGGGAATGGAGAAGGCTAGAGTGAACCAGGCATGTTCGCTCAGAATGTGAGGTATTACAGCAATTGACCCCGAACAACCTGTGTTGTTCACCTATATGTAGAGTTTTTTCAACCAAAGATAAAAACACTATTCAGGGGATGTGAAACTCAGGCATAGAGAGGGCTGACTTTTCCTATATGTAGGTTTCATAGATCCAATCACAGGACTTGAGTATGTGTGAATTTAGTATATGCAGGAGTCCTGAATCCAATCCTCACCTATATCTAGAGGCAACTCTATTAACTCACACACATACACACAAACACACACCCACATGCAGATGAATAGGTATGTAAATCAATAGAGATGCAGGTACACATGCCTTAATATACACACATATACTCCCTAGTCCTGTCTTTTAAGAGGACCTAGGCAATGGCACCACAGTAACGATGAGACCACCTATTTCCCAGATCTTGGTCTCTAATGCCATTTTCCAATAATAGAAATCAGAGTTTCTTGGAAAAAAAAGGTGAGTATTGAGCTGGGACAGAGGAATTATTGAATGAGCCCAGAACATCTAAAGGTGGCCCAAAATAAAAAAGAACTCAACTGTGGTGAAGACCTGTCGAAAGATTATAGAAGCCAAATTTTGAAGGAGATCACACTATTTGAATTTGGAAAAATTTGAATAACAAACTATGGTATTATTGAGTAACTCAAGAATAAAGTATGACATTGATGTTAATCAATAACCCAATAGTGGAGAAGGTATAGCTTTTTAAGGAGTGGAATCCTCATGGAAATGCAGAAAAAATATGTGAAATGGAAATCCTCATGAAACCAATACTACAGTAATAAAACTGTTGGCTAATGTCAGTATACTTTGGACTTTTAAAGTCGAAAGTTTGAAGAGAAACCGAATATTTGCCAAGACTCAAAGTATCTGTCTATAAGACGCTTATTTGTTACAAAAGAGACCCATAATTTTGAATGAAGAAACTTGGCAGATACCATTTTAAGCAATACAATTTAACATCATTAATAAAACAAAATATCAATGCCCTGAACCACCTGACATGATGCACTGAGAAAGGCACAGCCTCTGTTGTGTAGATTTACATCAAAATAAATAGGACATGGGAAAAATACAAACTGAGGGCCATTCTTCAAAACAATTGACCCTTACTCTTCAATACTGGAAGACCATGAAAGATAAAGCAGTCTGCGGAACTTTCACAGAGTGGATGAGACTAGAGAAACGTGATAAACTTGGTCCAAAATGGGTCCTGAACCAGAAAAAAAAGCTGATGTGGAAGGGAAAACAAACTTGTGAAATTTAGATAAAGTTTCCAACCAGTTAAATCAGACGGTTTATGTGCATTCCTGCAATTTTCTTATTTTATTTATATTTTGCTTAGTTCAAATGTCCCTTATTAAGAAAATTTTCATCAACATTTTTCTCTGGTTTTTCATTAACACAGGGATTCCCAGGGAATCATGGGGAAGTTGTTTTTGCTTTTATTAACTGATTAGTTAATAGTATTACATCAATGTTAATTTCCTGATTCTAAGAATCAAATATGGTTATGTAAGTAACATCAGGGGAAATTGGATAAAGAATATTTTTGGAACTCTCTGTACTAATCTTTAAACTTTTCTAGGAGTCTGAAATTATTTAAAAAGTGATTTATGCTATTTGGTATGAGCTATTCTAAAGATTCAATGCTCTTTAAAGTTGATGCATCTTTGCATCCTGAATGATTCAGTGGCTGCGTTTGAGTTTCATTTTACCTGAATTTGCAAGAGCTATACGATTTTTAACACAGAATATGAAATGGGATATGAATTTATGTTTTGTTGCTATGGTGATTTATATTGTTACTATTTTAACAACCTCATCAAATGCAGACGTTCAATGGCAATATGGCACCACTACATAATTTAACACCAAATCATGCATCACAAAGTGTAGCACCATTTGCAAGATAAAATGAGGAAATTAAAAGCAAATAGAAGTATATTACCCAAGTCCCAAATCTATAAATAATTGAACTGTAAGTGTGAACACTCTATAAAGGAGATTTATTGATAGAAATTGATGTGCATAATAAACAGTGTAAAACTTTTATTAGTAATAAAGGAAATACCTTTGGACACCCACTTTTTCAAAATCTCTTAACTCTCAGCAGGAAAGAAGGGAAAAATGTTTTGGCTAATTTTCAGGACATGTGGCAGAGGAGGTTTTACACAGAGTTCAGTGATGAATTTTTAATCATTGACTTCTGGAGTATTAGCTTTTTGTAAGAATATTGTCATATAAACATTATCATCTACTGCAGACTGAATCTGTATCCAAAAAATTTCCAACCAGTTAAATCAGACGGTTTATGTGCATTCCTGCAATTTTCTTATTTTATTTATATTTTGCTTAGTTCAAATGTCTATCATTAAGAAAATTTTCATCAGCATTTTTCTCTGGTTTTTCATTAACACAGGGATTCCCAGGGAATCATGGGGAAGTTGTTTTTGCTTTTATTAATGAGGAATCTCCACTGCTATTGCTGCTTTTCTGGGTCAGGGGAACGGCATTTATGTAACCAAGGAAAGCTTGTTTCCCTGGAGGCTAATTTGAGGGGTAAATGTGGCCTGGAATGAATTTCAGAATTAGAACAGAAGCCAGTGCTTTGTCACGCCATGAACACGTGTTTTTCCAAACTGCACATCACAAGCCACATCATATATCAGGCTCTCAGCTCCTTAATGCAAGTATTTCCCATGAGAAGAAAGCTGTCAAGGGCAACACACTTTCCACACGCAGACATTTCAAGGTAGGATTTTCTAATTGCCCTGTGGTACTGTGAGCACTGTCACTGTTGGCATGCATACTAAAGTCATGAGCGAATCGCAATATTCATTCGGCAAGCCGTTGAGGAATGGTTACTACCTGCAAGGCTGTGAACCTGATGGTTTGGGATAAGTTCTTAATCTCTCTGTACTTCATTTTTCTTGTGTGTGAAATGACAATAGTAATACCTACCTTAATACCAGTTAACTGCTTATAACAATTCCTGGCACAGAACTTCATGCATGGTGGCTTGTCATGCAGCAATACAACGCTAACACAATTCTTCTTTTTTTTTTTTTAATTTTTTATTGCATTTTAGGTTTTGGGGTACATGAGCAGAGCATGCAAGACAGTTGCGTAGGTACACACATGGCAGTGTGCTTTGCTTTTCTTCTCCCCTTCACCCACATTTGGCATTTCTCCCCAGGCTATCCCTCCCCACCTCCCCCTCCCACTGGCCCTCCCCTTTTCCCCCCAATAGACCCCAGTGTTTAGTACTCCCCTTTCTGTGTCCATGTGTTCTCATTTTTCATCACCCACCTATGAGTGAGAATATGCGGTGTTTCATTTTCTGTTCTTGTGTCAGTTTGCTGAGGATGATGTTCTCCAGATTCATCCATGTCCCTACAAACGACACAAACTCATCATTTCTGATTGCTGCATAATATTCCATGGTGTATATGTGCCACATTTTTCCAATCCAGTCTATTATCAATGGGCATTTGGGTTGATTCCAGGGTAACAGATTTCATCCACATAGAAAAGGGAGGGATACAATCATCATCAAGACAATAATAGTGAATAATTGTGTTAGCTATTGTTCATTGCAGCACTGTTTACAATAGCTAACACAATTATTAACTATTATTGTCTTGATGATGATTGTATCCCTCCCTTTTCTATGTGGATGAAATCTGTTACCATATTTGAACCAAGTGAGATTATCTGGGTGGTCTAATCTAATTGCATGAGCCCTTTAAAGGCAGAGAGTTTTCTCTAGCTGAGAGCAGAGGAGGAAGTCAGTGACGCGAAGCCCATGAGGGATTTGAAGTGCCATTGTTGTTCTGAAGACCAAGAGAGGCCAGGGAATGTGAGCAGCTCTTAGAAATTAAGAGCTGTCGCTGGCTGGTGGCCAACAAAGAGATGGGGACCTCAGTCCTACATTTTCAAGGAGAGGATTTTAACCAAGAACCTGAATGTGACTGCAAGCATATTCATCCCCAGTGCCTCCAGAACAGAGCCCAAGTAACTGACCAGCATTTTGATTTGTCCTTCTGATTCCCTGAGCACAGACCCAGTGGAGCTGCCTGAGACTTGTGACCTACAGCACTGTGTAATCATATCTAAGTGCTATTTAAGCTACTGAATTTATTGGAGTTTGCTAGGTATCAATTAGAAAACTCATGTAGTAATGATGCTGTATGATACTTTAGGGAGGGATTGAAGTGATAGTTTATCATTGCTAACACATATTGAATGTGTACATCTAGCAGACACTGTGATAGTGTTTTGCTTGTTTTATTTAATCTCCTCACAATGCCATACAGTGGGTTCTCTTACTGACACCATTTGAGTTAAGTGAGGCATAGATAGCTTGGATCCCATGAAGAAGGTTAGGGAACTAGCAGGTAGCAGAGCGGAAATGTGGATCCAAGAGTGCGTGGTCCAGGGCATAGGTTCTCAATCACTGGGCAATACGGACCTGTCTTCGTCTTTATTGGAATTCAACGTCCCTAAGGCCAAACATGACAAGCATCACGTGGGGCATGCAGGCAGAGTGAGGCGAGTTCAGAGAGGTCTTGGGCTTTTCTTGGGGCACTAATAGGAAGATGCCGTTATTTTTGGAAAAATATTTCTAAGGCAGTATATTTCAAATTGCAGTTGAAAGACTGCAAGCAGAAATTGCCTTATTTGGGAGTTTCCATTTTGATGACACAGCCAAAATCTTAGTATATCCCCTACCATAGGGTTCAACACCATCTGACTGAGTCCAGCCCATTGTAGCATGGGGCATTGAGTGTGTTTTTATAGCTATTGTCAAGAAGTACTTCTGTATGCTTCACACTAATTAAAAGATGATAAAGTTTGATATGGAACATCGAATGACATGTTTGTGCTGGGTGATATTCCAGTGGCCTCTTGACACATAATATAGCCAGTATTGCATTGTGTTCAATTAGAGAAAGGGTGTAACAGTTGAGTTACTGAAACATACACAGGACTCTAGATTAGCTGAACAAAAATCAGCAAACAAGCAGCATCACAGCCACTACCACCATCATATTGCAAGCAGTGGACAAGTTTCAGAAAAAAATAATACCATTCTCACATTTAAATTGAACTGAAATTGCTGTGCAGTTTTGCTTTGCATTTGGTTTTTAAATAAGTCTTAGTTGTATACTTCTGTAAGGGCAATAAACCTGGGATATCTACTCCCAATTTTATGGGTATAAAGTTTAGGTAATATAATAATTTCACGGCCAATTAGGGTCTATACATTTTTTATTTTTATAAATGTATAGGATACACTGTAATCTTGTTATGTGCATAGATTGCATAGCGGTCAAGTCAGAGCATTAAGGTATCCATCACTCAAATAACACACCCACTGAGCAATTTCTCCTTATCTTTTCCTCTCCCACCCCCCTCATCCTTTCTAGTTGCCACTGTCTATCATTCTTTACATCCGACCATGCACATTTTTAGCACCCATTTATGAGTGAGAACCTGCAACATTTGATATTCTGTTTCTGGCTTGTTTCAGTTAAGATAATGACCTCCAGTTCCATCCATCTTGCTGCGGAAGACATAATTTTAGTCTTTTATATGGCTGGATAATATCCCATTGTATGTAAGTACTGTATTTTCTTTATCCATTTTCCCTTGGATGGGCACTTAGCTTGATTCTGTATCTTTGTTCTTGTGAATAGTTTTGTGACAAACAAATGGGTGCAGGTATCTTTTTGATATAATGATGAATAATTTGATATAGTGCTTTATTTTCCTTTGGGTAGATATCTGGAAGTGGGACTGCTGGATGGAATGGAAGTTCTATTTTTAGTTCTTTGAAAAATCTCCATAAGGTTTTCCATGGAGTTTGTACTAATTTACATTTTGGCCAACAGTGTACAAGGATTCCTTTCTCTTATTATTTGAGATTGTGTGTTCAGTCAAGTCACCACAATGAATTAGCACATGTTGAACCATTGCTTTTAGGAGAAACACAGGGTTAGGTTTCTGGGAGCCTCTGGTGCCAACATTTCATCAATCAATAGACATGCCTGTTTGATGCATATGCCTATTTTAAAGACACAGATGTTTATCTTAATAACATTATATATTATGTAATATCAATTGTTGGCTCTTACAGAATGAGCTCATGGCCGACAGCTCTGTAACATATGCCTTTAAGAAGCGTATCTAACACACACATCTCTATAGGTTATATCACAACGTTTTGAGCCTGAGAACACTACATAGCACTTGAGCAGTGTGCTTGGGGGTCATTTATAAGAGTAAGATCATCAACAAAAAGCATAAAAATGAAAAAGAAAAGTGGGATTAAATAGACCACAAAAAGACACTTATGTGCAGTGTGAAAGCTTAAACAAGAAGGCTGAGTATCACCTTATTCAAAGAGTGATTCTGGGGTTACAAATAAATTTTAGCACATAGGCAAATTTGCAAATGCAGAATCCATAAATAATGAGGATCAGTGGGTAGGTCAATTATAGGGAAACTCAAAATGCAGTATCCTGAGGACAGCAGTAAGGAACATTGTTGTCATCTCTGGTTCTAAAGGGACAAGGGCTCAGGGAAGTTTCTGGAACCAGGAGAAGAGGCGCATAGAGTATTGTGTACACAGGGCCATCTGGTGGGAGCTGGCCATGATTCAGACAAGAATTCAGCTTGGGTGCCTAATGCCCTAATGAAATATAAATGTTATTATGAATCCCATTCTATGTGTGAGTAATCCAAGACACAGAGGGATTGAATAAATTATCTAAGTTCTCATACCGAACTAGAAAATTACAGAATAAACACAGAAACCCAGCAATCAGGCTCTGAAAGAATACTCTTAATAACTACATTGATAGAATTGTACAGTAGTCCCAGCGCCTCAGGAGGCTGAGGCAGGAGAATCTCTTGAACTAGGAAGTTGGAGGTTGCAGTGAGCCGAGATTGTGCCACTGCACTCCAGCCTGGTGACAGAATGAGACTCCGTCTCAAAAAAAACAAAAAACAAAAAAAAAGAATTATGCACTTGTGCAGTCTCTGGGAAAACAAGAAATGGTGAGTGGAGACACAAGCACAGGAACCTTTAAGTTACCCATGGCAACCACAGGAAGATGTTCGTTAGGTTTTGAAGGGAAGGTGGGAATTAAAGACACACACACACGCACAGAGAGTTGGAGCCTCTACAGCAAATGCAGGTTCTATTTTCAGCATAAGACCTGCAGGGGTGGAGGACCAAGCTTCATGGCAGTGTCTGCTGCTGTTTATAGACTGAGGCAATTATAAGCCTGGGTGAGAGGGGTCTCAGAGAGGAAGGGGCATGGTCTGCTCCTTGGAAGAATGCTGATGACATGTTCCCATGATGAGGCAGTTTGGCCCCGTCCTGATGGAAGGTGATGTTCCTTGGACTTTTTCCCCCAGAATATGATAAAGTCAGACAGTTGGGCAGGCTGGTTCTCATGGACCAAACCCCTGTGGAATGTTTCCCTTTGACCAAGGTCTGTGAAATGGTGTGGGGTGGGGGGCTTACAAAGCGGTGCAGTTTGAATTAACCGTGTTTCTACATTGGTCTGGGAGCAAGGCATTGCCATCCCATTAAAATTTCTTGAGCATTCTGAATTGCTAAAATCTAAGAAGGTAGAAAAAACAAAACCAATAACATGTTTTTTCTTTTTACCATAGAAGCTTTCATTTATGCATGGGCGCATTCATTACTGAATCCCACTATGTGCCGTGAACTTTACTAGGCTCTCAGTAAACACTTTAATAAAGCAGAAGGCTGGGCGCGGTGGCGTACACCTGTAATCCCAGCACTTTGGGAGGCCGAGGTGGGTGAATCACGTGGTCAAGAGATCTAGACCATCCTGGCTAACATGGTGAAACCCTGGCTCTACTAAAAAAAAAAAGTTTCCCATTCCATTGGTTGGGTTTCTTTTGGAACCAACCCAAATGCCCATCGATGATAGACTGGACAGGGAAGATGTGGCACATACATACCACGGAATACTATGCAGTCATAAAAAACTATGAGTTCATGTCCTCTGTAGGGATATGGATGAACCTGGAAACCATCATTCTCAGCAAACTGACACATTAGAACAGAAAATCAAACACCGCATGTTCTCACTCATAGGCGGGTGTTGAACAATGAGAACACATGGACACAAGGAGGGAAGCATCACACACTGGGGTCTGTGGGGTGGGACTAGGGGAGGGACAGCAGGGGATGCGGAGTTGTGGGGGATAACATCGGGAGAAATGCCAGATACAGGTGATGGGGAAGAAGGCAGCAAACCACATTGCCATATATGTACCTATCCTGCATGTTCTTCACATGTACCCCAAAACCTAAAATGCAATAAAATAAAAATAAAATAATAAAAAATACAGCTTGGCATGGTGGCACACACCTATAGTCTCAGCTAGGCTGAGGCAGAAGAATTGCTTGAACTTGGGAGGTGGAGGTTGCCGTGAGCAGAGATTGAGTCACTGCACTCCAGCCTGGGCAAGGACACAGCAAGACTCTGTCTCAAAAAATAAAATAAATAAATACAAAAATACAAAAAATGTTTTTTTAATGAAGCAGGTATGGTTTATCCCCTCAGACCATGTGCACTGAGAGGAGGTTTCTATTTTCCAACACTAGCACAGTTCACCACAGCACTCATTCAGCATGGGCCACTTCCATGCCCTGACACTGTAGGACATTGTGAAGCCTCTGCCTGGGCCACCATGACCCTCTGTACCTGTTGATTTATGCGCCTTATCGTGGACCCGGAGCATGAAACAACAAATGAGGCTTTCTGAACTCACCAAGGGTCATGATTCTGAATAAACCTGGAAAGTTTAGCAATAGAGGTCCCCCCCGAGGTGGAGTCCTTGATGTTTGAAGCAAGGCTTCACCTCCTCATCTGGCATTGAACTCTGGGGCTGCTTGAAGGAAGAATTCATCTTATTCTGATGTGGGATGACCACAGCATCTGGAGAAACAAATTGGGGTGAGCCCTCTCCAAGTGTGTTAACGAAATACTCGTTGTCAGGATCAGACAGACGACAAGGCAAGGTCAGCAAGACTTGAGGCTTAATTGATTTGTCTTCCGGGAAATTAAGGCAGTGAGCACAGGACTCACACCAAGACATCAAGTGGAACAGTCATTAAAAGCCTGTACCCAAAATAAGCCAAGAGAGAGGATAAAATTTCTCTACCACAAGCTCTGTCTCCATCTACTTCTTCATAAAAACATCCTTTTTGTTTTACTGTGCCTGAAATGATTAATAGGCTAGGATGACTTGAAGTGCAGAAATCCCTGTGCCTGAAGCAAAGTCTAGTATAGATGAGGGAAAGTCAAGTTCTCAAACTCTAGTTTCTAGAACCTAGAAGACTAAAAGGGATTTCTTCTCCAGGCACAAGGTTTATTCCAGCTGAGATGTAAGAATCAATATGATTGCTGGCCGTGGTGCCTCACACCAGTAATTCCAGCACTTTGGGAGACCAAGGCTGGAGGATTGCTTAAGCCCAGGAGTTCAGGACCAGGCTGAGCAACATAGCAAGAGCCTGTCTTTACAAAACATATATGAAAAAATAGCCTTGTGTGGAAGTGCATGCCTGTGGTTTCATCTACTCAGGAGGCTAAGGCAGGAGGATCGTTTGAGGCCAAGAGGTAAAGATTGCAGTGAGCCATGATCACACTGTAACACTCAGCCTAGGCAATAGGGCAAGATTCAGTCTCAAAAAAAAAAAATATGTTTCATAACATCCAATGTCTGGAAATCTGTGGCAGAGATAGAGAGAAACCTAAATATATACTAATGAAATCATCTCTATTTCTCAGATTCACCCACAGCTAAATTGGGGGTCATGTGACTCATTATCTCTATTTCTCAGATTCACCCACAGCTAAATTGGGGGTCATGTGACTCATTTCGGGAGAGAAAGTGACATCGATCACTTCTGGAATGACGTACTTAAAAGCTGGTGTGCCTGTTTATCTCTCTCTCTTTTCTCTTGAAACAAGGACTCAGAAGACACTTACTCCACCTCTGCACTTACGATGCAGAAGACACTTGCTCCACCTCTGCAGTTACGGTGCAGAAGACACTTGCTCCACCTCTGCAGTTACAATGCAGAAGACACTTGCTCCACCTCTGCAGTTAGGATGCACAAGACAGTTGCTCCACCTCTGCAGTTACAATGCAGAAGACACTTGCTCCACCTCTAAAGTTACGATGCACAAGACAGTTGCTCCACCTCTGCAGTTACAATGCAGAAGACACTTGCTCCACATCTGAAGTTACAGTGCAGAAGACACTTGCTCCACCTCTGCAGTTACAGTGCAGAAGACAGTTGCTCCACTTCTGCAGTTACAATGCAGAAGACACTGGCTCCACCTCTGCAGTTACAGTGCCGAAGACACTTGCTCCACCTCTGCAGTTACAATGCAGAAGACAGTTGCTCCACCTCTGCAGTTACAATGCAGAAGACAGTTGCTCCACCTCTGCAGATACAGTGCAGAAGACAGTTGCTCCACCTCTGCAGTTACAGTGCAGAAGACACTTGCTCCACCTCTGCAGTTACAGTGCAGAAGACACTTGCTCCACCTCTGCAGTTATGATGCAGAAGACACTTGCTCCACCTCTGCAGTTACGATGCAGAAGACACTTGCTCCACCTCTGCAGTTACGATGCCGAAGACACTTGCTCCACCTCTGCAGTTACAGTGCAGAAGACAGTTGCTCCACCGCTGCAGTTACAGTGCAGAAGACACTTGCTCCACCTCTGCAGTTACAGTGCAGAAGACACTTGCTCCACCTCTGCAGTTACGATGCAGAAGACACTTGCTCCACCTCTGCAGTTACGATGCAGAAGACACTTCCACCACCTCTGCAGGTACAATGCAGAAGACAGTTGCTCCACCTCTGCAGTTACAATGCAGAAGACACTTGCTCCATCTCTGCAGTTACAATGCAGAAGACAGTTGTTCCACCTCTGCAGTTACAATGCAGAAGACAGTTGCTCCACCTCTGCAGTTACAATGCAGAAGACAGTTGCTCCACCTCTGCAGTTACGATGCAGAAGACACTTGCTCCACCTCTGCAGTTACGATGCAGAAGACACTTGCTCCACCTCTGCAGTTACGATGCAGAAGACACTTGCTCCACCTCTGCAGTTACGATGCAGAAGACACTTGCTCCACCTCTGCAGTTACGATGCAGAAGACACTTGCTCCACCTCTGCAGTTACGATGCAGAAGACACTTGCTCCACCTCTGCAGTTACGATGCAGAAGACACTTGCTCCACCTCTGCAGTTACGATGCAGAAGACACTTGCTCCACCTCTGCAGTTACGATGCAGAAGACACTTGCTCCACCTCTGCAGTTACGATGCAGAAGACACTTGCTCCACCTCTGCAGTTACAAAGCAGAAGACACTTGCTCCACCTCTGCAGTTACGATGCAGAAGACAGTTGCTCCACCTCTGCAGTTACGATGCAGAAGACACTTGCTCCACCTCTGCAGTTACGATGCAGAAGACACTTGCTCCACCTCTGCAGTTACGATGCAGAAGACACTTGCTCCACCTCTGCAGTTACGATGCAGAAGACGGTTGCTCCACCTCTGCAGTTACGATGCAGAAGACGGTTGCTCCACCTCTGCAGTTACGATGCAGAAGACACTTGCTCCACCTCTGCAGTTACGATGCAGAAGACACTTGCTCCACCTCTGCAGTTACGATGCAGAAGACACTTGCTCCACCTCTGCAGTTACGATGCAGAAGACACTTGCTCCACCTCTGCAGTTACAAAGCAGAAGACACTTGCTCCACCTCTGCAGTTACGATGCAGAAGACACTTGCTCCACCTCTGCAGTTACAAAGCAGAAGACACTTGCTCCACCTCTGCAGTTACGATGCAGAAGACAGTTGCTCCACCTCTGCAGTTACGATGCAGAAGACACTTGCTCCACCTCTGCAGTTACGATGCAGAAGACAGTTGCTCCACCTCTGCAGTTACGATGCAGAAGACACTTGCTCCACCGCTGCAGTTACGATGCAGAAGACACTTGCTCCACCTCTGCAGTTACGATGCAGAAGACACTTGCTCCACCTCTGCAGTTACGATGCAGAAGACAGTTGCTCCACCTCTGCAGTTACGATGCAGAAGACACTTGCTCCACCTCTGCAGTTACGATGCAGAAGACACTTGCTCCACCTCTGCAGTTACGATGCAGAAGACGGTTGCTCCACCTCTGCAGTTACGATGCAGAAGACACTTGCTCCACCTCTGCAGTTACGATGCAGAAGACACTTGCTCCACCTCTGCAGTTACGATGCCGAAGACACTTGCTCCACCTCTGCAGTTACGATGCAGAAGACACTTGCTCCACCTCTGCAGTTACGATGCCGAAGACACTTGCTCCACCTCTGCAGTTACAGTGCAGAAGACACTTGCTCCACCTCTGCAGTTACGATGCAGAAGACACTTGCTCCACCTCTGCAGTTACGATGCAGAAGACACTTGCTCCACCTCTGCAGTTACGATGCAGAAGACACTTGCTCCACCTCTGCAGTTACGATGCAGAAGACACTTGCTCCACCTCTGCAGTTACGATGCAGAAGACACTTGCTCCACCGCTGCAGTTACGATGCAGAAGACACTTGCTCCACCTCTGCAGTTACAAAGCAGAAGACAGTTGCTCCACCTCTGCAGTTACGATGCAGAAGACACTTACTCCACCTCTGCAGTTACGATGCAGAAGACACTTGCTCCACCTCTGCAGTTACAAAGCAGAAGACAGTTGCTCCATCTCTGCAGTTACAATGCAGAAGACAGTTGCTCCACCTCTGCAGTTACGATGCAGAAGACACTTGCTCCACCGCTGCAGTTACGATGCAGAAGACACTTGCTCCACCTCTGCAGTTCCGATGCAGAAGACAGTTGCTCCACCTCTGCAGTTATGATGCAGAAGACATTTGCTCCACCTCTGCAGTTACAAAGCAGAAGACAGTTACTCCACCGCTGCAGTTACGATGCAGAAGACAGTTACTCCACCGCTGCAGTTACAATGCAGAAGACACTTGCTCCACCTCTGCAGTTACGATGCAGAAGACAGTTGCTCCACCTCTGCAGTTACGATGCAGAAGACACTTGCTCCACCTCTGCAGTTACAATGCAGAAGACACTTGCTCCACCTCTGCAGTTACGATGCAGAAGACACTTGCTCCACCTCTGCAGTTACGATGCAGAAGACACTTGCTCCACCTCTGCAGTTACAAAGCAGAAGACACTTGCTTCACCTCTGCAGTTACGATGCAGAAGACACTTGCTTCACCTCTGCAGTTACAAAGCAGAAGACAGTTACTCCACTGCTGCAGTTACAATGCAGAAGACAGTTGCTCCACCTCTGCAGTTCCGATGCAGAAGACACTTGCTCCACCTCTGCAGTTACGATGCAGAAGACACTTGCTCCATCTCTGCAGTTACAATGCAGAAGACAGTTGCTCCACCTCTGCAGTTACAATGCAGAAGACACTTGCTCCACCTCTGCAGTTACGATGCAGAAGACACTTGCTCCACCTCTGCAGTTACGATGCAGAAGACAGTTGCTCCACCTCTGCAGTTACGATGGAGAAGACACTTGCTCCACCTGTGCAGTTACAAAGCAGAAGACAGTTGCTCCACTGCTGCAGTTACAATGCAGAAGACAGTTGTTCCACCTCTGCAGTTACGATGCAGAAGACACTTGCTCCACCTCTGCAGTTACGATGCAGAAGACAGACAGTTGCCAGAACCAAGCCACGGGTACTACTGTGATTTTAATGTGTTGATGGTTGGTGATAAGCACCCTGACTAATCCAGAATGTGTCTTTCCAATTCCTTCTCAAAAGCCTAAACTAGTAAATATAGAAATGGTTATTTTTCCAGGAAATACAATTCAGAAATAGAGTTCCTCCGGTTTAGCCCGAGGATACTGTATAGGTAGCAGAAATGTTTGTTACCATATTCTAAAATAGTAACAATACGTCCATGGTGGCACAATTCCCAAATCTGATGGTAGCTCGGAGCTCTCTGGGCTTATAGTGATGAATTACGTTCACCTGAGCTAAGCAGATTCAATAAATCATAAGACGATTCTATTGACTACAGTGTGAATAGAGCTTGAGCCAGGAGCCTGACATTCCACACAGCTTAAACTAAGAATAATAGCTCCTTCTCTGGTCATTTACCCAATAGGTGGAATAAAATATCAGAGCTGAAAGAGTTTTCAAAAATGATCCTAATGAATCCCATTGGTTTACTCCAAAGATTTATTATGTTCCATGGGCTTTGATAGACACAGAGATAAAGGATACATGGGACTCAACACCTTTCTGCAAGCTTATAGTTTACATAAAACAACTTCAGAAACTAAAAACTGACAAACCAATACATTAGGTTTATATTAGGATTACTATGCAGACTTAGAAGAGGGGTACCCAGCTCAGCTTGGAGCTGGGATAAAGCTTCCAGAAACAATGATAACCAAGTTAGATTATGAAGAGTTTCCGGCAGAAAATATAGAGATTTTCCAGAAGGAGGAAATCTGTGAACAAAGGAGTGAAACTGTGGAACAGCGTGGCGCGTACACATCAAATGCATGCCGGATCCTTTCTGTGCTGCACAGACTGATCTCAGTTCTTTCTACATCACATTGGATATTGCTCAAGTATAAAATGGAGAAATGGTGGTGTACAAAGTTGGATAATATGGACCAGAAGGGAAATCTACGTAGTGAAGGTGTGATGTACTCCATTATTAGTAAGTGTTTTATTTGTTTAAAGGGTTTTAGAGGCACTAGTATGTGGTAATATGAGAAACCTAGTATAATTTTAAATAGGCTGTATTACATTCGTAAGTTTAGGGGAAGGCATCTTAGTAAGAAATGGTATGAAAATACAGGCAAGAAAATAAAGAAGCAATACCAGGGAGACTGCATCCTTTTGTCTAAGGACAAAAATTAAGGGATCCAAGTATGTTAGTTGAGTCTACCCTGGTGGGTGAAGATGCCTCAGGATGAGAAGTTATGTCTGCATCTGTCTGCATCAGCCTCACTTAAAAGATCCCCTCTGCACGATAACGATACTATACATCGATACCAATCCACAGGAAATAAATGAAAGTGAGTGGTGCCGTGATATCTGGTGTCGCAGGCTCCACTTTGGAAGAGGCTCTGGACTAAAGTTTGGGAAGAGTTTTCACAAGAGACAGAGAGTGAATTCTTATGAGAAAGAGTGTGGGTAGCTAAGGCATGAGATGCACTGTAAGCCTGGGAGCATTCGTACCTGGCCTTTGGAAATCATATGGGGATCCAGAGGTGTTAACCAAGTACAGGGAAGTCTAGGAAGCTGAAACCTGAACTCCCACAGAGTCCTGAGGAAAGAATTTGCCCAAAACTCTTAAGATGACTTAGCAGCAGCTCTTCAGTGACAGGCATCCCAGGCTGGACACGTGCGTGACGTCACCGGGCTCTGCACAGTAATTTCAAGGTGAAAAAGGCTGAGTTCTTCCTGGGGGAAGTAAAATTTTAATCTGATTTTGCATTTTCCTCATGCTTGCTTTTTTATCCCTCTGACCTTGTTTTTTCTTATCATTGAAACAAGATATATTCACTTTGCACAGGTAGGAATGTTGTATGTAAAAGTATCTCTGATCATCTGCAGATGATTCACAGGCAAACTGTAATATGGGGAGACTGTTTATCAGTCAAACTTTTCCCAAGG